AGTTACCGAATCCGTTTTTCGAAATTCAATTTTCGTCTCCAGTGGGAATTGAACTTGTACTCAACCGCTTGGAGGTGTGACAACTTCACCACTTCACTAAGTCGCCACACCCATTCATGTTAATTTAGAAGGCATATATAAAGAATATTTATACTTAAAAATAAGCTACTCAAGTTTATGAATATTTACCATTTAATTTTGCTTGCATTAATTTAGTTGGGTGAGTATAAAGAGCATTTCAATTCTAGTTAAAAAAAATGTAAAAAAAAAATTATATCACCCAAAAATTTTTTGTACAGTATACTAATTGCAAAAATTTTTTTAAATTTTTATCGAGTACGTATATATATACCTAGTCATAAAATATTAAAAAAGTTTTTTTGATAAATTCGATTAGCAGTCACAGATTTTAAACTAAAATTTATTTATGTTATATTCTACTGTCACATACTGCACTAGTATGTCAAACTGCACTATTCATGTCATATTGCACTATCAACATTATATTGTACTGTTTACGTTATATTGTACTATTCATGTCACATTGCACTGTTCATATCACACTGTACTATTCACATCACACTACATTATTTACATTATATTACACTAGTCATGTCAAACATTAAATGTCACATCACTTATATCATGTTACTTATGTCACGTCAATATAACCTCTAGAGTAGTATGTCCTCTATATCTTAAACATAGTGACATAGGTAATGACTACCTTGAGAAATATCTTCATCTTTATAAACTACCAACCACCACAAATAGAGCAATATTTCTTTCGTATTATGTCAAAGCAACAGAGAAAATTTGATAAAATCATTCACAATATCTCGTACTGTGCTTCTGCAGTCTTGCGCCCAATTGACAATATTAGAAAATTATTACAAAACTCAAAACTCAATGATAATAATGCAAAAGCCAAAGCCGGTTATAAATTATTGCAAAGATCAAATCACAATGTGAAAGAATTATTATAAGATGTCTTGTTATATATCAATGAATATTATAAGAACATCACACTTAAAGCTATATCACCAATTCATACTGCCTCTAGAGATAGGAAAGATATATTTGGTGACAAACTCAAAGATCTGGTTAAAGAAAAAAATACCAAAGCAAAATTATACAATGATGCCAATAAGGAGCGATATAGATTTCTGATATCCATATAACTGCAACAAGATTATTCTAATACCAGAAACCCAAGTATCAATTACTATTCACAAGGGGATAAATGTCATATATATAAGAAAAGTTTTAAAAAATTAGGTTTCTAGCAAGAAATTTTTCAAGCAAGCAACTACTGTACTACATATTCATAATATTTACTTATATCCCCAGACGTTTAAAGTTATTCAAGCAAAATTGGTTAAAAATATTTAGAAATTTATAGTCTACCTAATTGTTTTATAGTTATTCTCCAAAATGGAATCAAAAACCTTCAATAAAGATCCAAAAACTAAAAGTTTTACAAATATTCATTTAGATTTACAAGAAACTAAGACCAAAATACAAGCTTTGTTAGATGTATAAGCTATCAAAAAAGTCTTAGCCAATTCTTCTTGTTTTGTATCAGACTTAATGATATTAAACAAGAAAGATAAAAAGAAGTATATCGTGTTAGATTTAAGACATCTAAATATATTTATAAAACACAAATATTTCAAAATAGAGTCTATACTTACAGTAAAGTACCTTATAAGAAGAAACAACTATATAGTGTCAATAGATATAAAAGATATCTTTTTTTTACATACTGCTACACCTAGCTGCCAAAAAAATATTTCGTATTCAATTTTTTGGGACAATGATATTATTTTAGATATCTACCTTTTGGGTTAACTTCTAGACCACAAATCTTTACAAAGATAATGAGACCAATTCTGAAATATTTAAGGTCTCAAGGCATCCAAATCATGGCATATTTGGATAATCTGTTAATAATAGCTCAGAAAAAAACTCAGATGCTAGCACATCTCAACAAATCTATAAATATTTTGAAGACCTTGGGATTCATAATAAATTTACAGAAAAGCTAACTCATACTATCACAAGTAATAGATTATCTAGGTTTCAGATTAAATTCAAGGAAAATAACTCTATCACTTCCAAAAAGAAATATCAAACAATTAAAAAGAGAATGCTTATCAGTAATAAAAAAAAGAATGATAAAAGTTAGAAAGTTAATATCTTTGATCAGAAAAGTATTAGCAATAATGAACACAGTACTCCAAGCCCAATTAAAGTCAAGAGAATTAATAAGGTTAAAAAACAGAACAATAAAAACCAAGAGATGGAGCGTATTCTTAAAGTTATTGAGAAAAGCTATAGAGCAGATAAAGTGATGGATAAACTAATTAGCCAATTGGAACAGACAATTATTGAAACTAGATACCCTGATAACAGTAATATATATTGACATAACTCAGTTAGACTAGGGACTAGTCGCAAAAGACAACTAATAAATAAGCTGTAGTTAATAGCAAAAAAACAACTTCATATCAATACCCTGGAAATGAAGACAATCCAATTTGCACTAATATTATTCAAGGATTTGTTGAACAGAACAATATTAATAAAAACAATCTGTATAGTATACATCAACCACTAAAGAGAGATAATCTTCCCAGAGATTAGCTGCATAGCAGAGCAAGTCTGAAAGAGTTGTCTGGAGAGAAAATCAAGCTAAGAGCACAACATATATCTGGAATCGATAACACATTAGCAAACTATGCCTCATGATAGAAATACAACAAGCATGACTGGATGATGAATCCAAAGATCTTCAACAAGCTCAACAAGATGTGGAGGCTTTTCAATATAGATCTCAACTTGACCACCACTGTTTTATGCAATTAATAAGAGTGATATTACTGTTCTATATTTACTATGTTATTTACAATAGGTGGGTAATATGTGATCTTATTATATACTATTCGTTTATTTACAAATGTATTTCGATAAATCTTCATAGTATATAATAAGATTATATGTTTCTTTAAAGCAAATAATTGTCAAGCAGTTCTAGCCTAATTTAGAATTCTTTCAGTAATATTATTTTGTACTAGCATAAGTTTAATCTCTCTTTGGTAAAAATATTGATAGATATGTGAATTCGACCAATTTCTAGTACTAAAATAGAATTAAGCTCAATGCTTGCATTTTGTGTGAGCAATGCTGATAAAACTCGAATATCCTTTGCTTTTTCTCTTGGGGTTAATTTTTGAACTATCTTTTTTTAATCAATTAGCAATCGTATCTACTACTACTAGTATATATACTTCTATGTTAAACAAAAATATTGCAGATTTTTGCTCATCTGTAATCCTGAAACTCTGTGTCCTGTTCAGGTAATTGAGTAAAGCTGTGTTCAGACAAGGTTCATATTTTTTTGATATTTGCCAATAAAAACTTTTTTGAAATATTTCTTATTAACCCTATATCCTAATACTATATTAGATTCTTTGGGGTTTTTGTATTCAAGAGTTACACTATATAACATATTTTTAATAGTAGTTAAATCAAGCCTTGCAAGGTTAGATGAGTAGAAAGCTAAGAACAAAGTATACAGAAAAGCTATCTTCTTGGCTAGTGCTATAAGTGACAAACTCTTATTACTTTCTAATATTATTATATAATCTAATAATAGTATAATATCGTAAATATTATCTTCAGGTTTTTTCAGTAGATTCATTTTAAAAATTTCCAATATTAGCTTTGCAATATCCTTATCCCTGCCTACTGAAATACTATTCACAGTATGATAAATCTTACTTATAGCTGACCTATAAGCAGTAATTGTATTGTAGAATTTTCCTTCTGTATTTTTCTCAGTGAGAAATTGTATGATATTAGTTATAGAGCAATGAACAGAATTTTTGTTATTCTCTATACACTACATGGTTCATATTCACAGGTTAGATAAAACAGTGGTGGTCAAGTTGAGATCTAGCAATTTGCATGATAATTCAATTGCTTCCTTTAAAACTCCTTTTCTTTGAGGCATTTCTAGAAATAAGCTATATGTATAATTGCTAAAGAGTATTGTAATAAGGTAGGTACCCTGATATTGGTTCTAGAAGTACCAGATTTTCAAATAGAAGTATGCAAAGTGTATCTATTATTAGTTTTATAATTGTTAGAAACCAAATTGCTAATGTCCAAAGAGGTATTACGATGCAAATTGCTGCTTGCTTTTTCTGTATTTTGGCTAAAATTCTTGGTATCAATGTTTATAGAGGATTGACATAACCTCTTATTGGTGCCTATTTCTGTGTAAATGCATTCACTGCTATTGATATCGGATCTGAGAACCAAGAGATGTATGTTGGCAGTTGGATGTTTAATCTGTTGACAAACAGATCTATATTGAAAAGCCTCCACATCTTGTTGAGCTTGTTGAAGATCTTTGGATTCATCATCCAGTCATGCTTGTT